AATGAAACAGAGTAGCATTTAAGGATTAAGGAAGGAATTCTCTAACTTCTCATTCTTCTTTTGGATTAAGCTATTAACCTGACTTTGCTCCCATAATTCGACAGTAATTGATCTTGCCTTTGCTGGCAGAGGTGAGCAGAAAAGTGCAATGTCAACAGCGGCTCTATTACAACATGAAGAGTAGTCATTCAAATGGAAAGGAGTTGAAAGCTTTGCAAAGAAAATATTCTCCTTAAGTAATAATAATGATGTGCTTGAATCCTACATGAGGTAATTAATAAAATGTTCATATGATTAAGACAGATCTCTGGTCCCGCAGGTACTAACAAAAGCAAAGGGTGAAATGAGAAAGCCAACTCCCTCTCAAGGGAAATCTGCCACTCCATGGGAAGAAAGTGGCAAAAGCAACCTGATACACACTCCTCATCCAGACAAGAAATGCAAGATACTCTAGAGCAACTACGTCCAAGGCAAACACATCATTTAGAGAAAATAACCCAATGTAATGCTGGATCCTTCATCTGAGAGAGAGGTTAGGAAGGTTGCATGCCAAACATAACAGGCATTTTTCTCTCTTCAAGTTTTACTTTGAATTTTAATATGCTTAATGTTAGGACAACCTTATCTTGTTTTCTAGGTCAGTAAAAATAATCTCTTTTGTCTAAAAGACATATTTGGAAGCAGTTCAGAGATTTCAGAGAGTACTTATGTTAATACTAAATAGTAATCCTTTGCTCAATCAGTAAGTAATATGAAAGAATGTTACCTATTACTACTGTAAGGTAGAAAATGTCATGTCGAGATTTATCCTGTACGAGGGGTCATGGTAGTCTCCTTTATCAACACAACATATGTTGTAAGTATTTTAAAAAGTGTTATTTATTGCCTCTAACTCACAGCCTTTCCTCTATGATTCAATTTTGAAATCAGATGAGTATTTGCTCTAATATAAATTTTTTAACATACTACAAGGAACACTGGCCTAAGAATCAACAGATCTAGAGTGAAGTCTCATACAGTATGAGAAAGTTAGGTTTCATTTCATTGATATCATTAGAAATGTACTGTTGCCAGGCACAGTGGCTCACACTTGTAATCCTAGCACTCTGGGAGGCCAAGGCAGGAGGATGGCTTGAGTCCAGGAGTTTGAGACCAGCCTAAGCAAGAATGAGACCCTGTCTCTACAAAAAAAAATAGAAAAATTAACTGGTTGCGGTGATGCGTGCCTGTAGTCTCAGCTACTCGGAGGGCTGAGGCAGAAGGATCGCTTGAGCTCAGGAGCTTGAGGTTGCAATGATCTACGATGACGCCACTGCACTCTAGCCCAGGTGACAGAGAAAGATTCTGTCTCAAAAAGAATCAAAAGATCTTAAGCTCTGGTGCTTACTTTACCACTTATTAGCTGGGTGAGTTACTGTAAGGAGACCAACCTCTGATTCATATTCTCTCTTTCTCTCTCTCTCTCTCTCTCAAAATATATATATAGCCTGTGAGATGAGACTAATAGAACCAACACTGCCTCCCCCTTACAGAGGAAGCATTTCAATGCATGCCCTATGTAATTATTAAAGGCTTAATATCACTCAGTAAGAGATTAAGAAATCAAGGGGAAAAGGAAGACAAGAAATGGAGGGAAGAAGGAAGAAACAAAAAGGAAAGGGAAAAGGAAAGTCAGAAAGTAAGACAATCAATGTTAAAATTATTGGGACTAGGCTGTACTAGTGCAAATAACACATACATGAGTTATATTTAATACATCCATGTTTCTCAATTTCATTTCCTGAAATACAAAACACACTATGCATATTCACTAAGGCTATTATATTTTATTTTTTTTTATTTTTTGAGACAGAGTCTCGCTTTGTTGCCCAGGCTAGAGTGAGTGCCATGGTGTCAGCCTAGCTCACAGCAACCTCAAACTCCTGGGCTCAAACGATCTTCCTGCTTTAGCCGCCCAAGTAGCTGGGACTACAGGCATGCACCCACCATGCCCGGCTAATTTTTTCTATATATATTAGTTGGCCAATTAATTTCTTTCTGTTTATAGTAGAGACGGGGTCTCACTCTTGCTCAGGCTGGTTTCAAACTCCTGGTCTTGAGCAATCTGCCCGCCTCGGTCTCCCGGAGTGCTAGGATTACAGGCGTGAGCCACCACGCCCGGCCACTAAGGCTATTTTTATACACTTTGTATAATACTTCTGGTTTTAGACTGTTGGAAAATTTGCCGCTACCTAAGAATCAAGCAGTACCCACATTAATTCTAATCTAAGCTCAATAGCAAAGTAGGAGACAATGTATGTTCCACTTGTCATATTATGGTCTAACTTCAGGACCATTTGAAAAACAGCAGGGATTCATAAAATGAGAAAGTATGATAGATGATTCAAACAGGCCAATACCTATACTTATCTAATGATTTGTCCCATTAGTAGTCAAGAAGAGTTAGTATCAACATGCTCATTTCATATCAGATACTAAACCAGAACTAGGAAATATGCTTAACATGTCACAAACTACCTGTCTTCTTGATTTATATACCTTCACATCAAAGGAGCCCAGAATCTGTTGCAAAGATGAAAGAGAAATCCAGGAATTGCTGATGGCAGAGCCTTGGCAGGAATCAACTCCTTCCCAGAGAAAGAATTACTTTATGGGCTTCTCTCCATTTCTCTTGTTGAAACCCTCCCCACCCTGTGCAGCAGGGCTCTGTAAGTATTTGTCACTGGAATGATACATTTTGAAGTGGTTCTCTTTCCTTAGTAGTTCAACATATAAGGTGAGGATAGGTTTTTAACTTTACTATCAAACAAGTGTTTGCTAGATGAGATTAATTATTTTTAAAAAATCACATTACTTAGGCTGCAGTTCCCTAAACAGGGCATAATGCAGTTGGATCACAATAAAACAAATATTGACAGTCTCAATGTAACCATACTATCATGAAATATTTTGAATTTGTATTTAGATCTAAGGGCTTTGTTTACATCATTTTATGCTTTGTTGCACTGTTTGTTCACTGAGAGTTTCAATTCACTCTTGCCATAAGAGGAGAGCTTTTTAGAGATGGGGAGGAGGTTTAGGGAACAGGGGCAGAGTACGTGGTTGGCAGAAGAAACAATCAATTTTGGGTCAAAGGATATTCATCACAACTACTGGCAGTAGGTAGTAAATTACAATTTTAATGTGGATTTCATCTTTTACTTGATAATAATAATTACTTAGAATACTGTTTACTAAATAATAAACAATAATTACAACTATTAATTCTAATTAATTCTAATAATTCTGTTTATTATTATACTGTTTACTCTAAACAATTCTAAATAGAACTATGAAGCAGAAAGTTCTAGGTAAAATGATAATTCAAACGTATGTTCCCTCCTGAAAGATGACGCAGTTTTGAGTGTCATGTCAGGCATAATATGCAATAACGTTCATCCAAACACCTACTAACTGTTCTCAGTGAGCTTACATTCTAATGAAAATGTATTTCATAGAACAGGCACCTGAGAACCAAAAGGAACAAATCACTAACATAGTCTGGCCCACCTAATTAACTGATTCATGATCTATCTACTTCCTAACTTATACTAACCTTCATGGTCTCTGTGCTTGTTTCTTGATATACTAAGTTAATTTGAAATAGACAGTTCCTAGAGACAAATGACCTCTACACATTTTCTTGAAGTAGGAGTTCTGTATCTAGTATTTCAGTGCTATTAATACTTATATTCATTTTATTAAATCTTCACTTCTTGATCAGTCAGACAGAAAAGGGCTAGAGGCCTTGGTAAAGCATTAGGAATAAGGAATAAAGAGGAATGAGGAAATTCTTGAATTATCAAATGTTTAAGAATCTGGTTTTCCACACCTTCTTCGTCAATTACATTGTGAATAGTAAATCCACCAGATGAAATCTCCATTCTAATAATGTCCAGTGTTTTCTATTTGTATCTCAAATATGCATATGAATGAACAGTAATCAGTATGCTCTTATGACATTCATTTTTGAGCAAATATTATACAGATCTCCAAAATCTTCAGTAATTACCCTTACTTTCTAAGTATGTTCTTGGGACTTTATTTTAAAAGTTCCTTTTAATCGTTACAAGAAATCACTGGAATGCATATCAATATATGTCCACTGTTTCCATCTATAGATCTCTGTATCCTTATTTTCCACTTTCCTTCTGATAAATAAACTTGAGAAAAACATCGAGATGCAAGTTCAAAAGCTGCTGATTTCTGCAATGCCTGGTCACATAAAAATATCAACCAGGAACAGGCTAATAAAGATTAGCCTGTTAGTCAGATTAAAGATAAACTTTGACAATGCTTCCAGAGGGAAAAAAGTATGATACCACACAAAACTACTCAATTTCAAAGACAAAAAGTTAAAAGTAAATTTGAGGTTGCAGAGAGAAACACACATTAAACCTTAGGGATCAAACTGTTTCCTCTAGTTTGATGTAAACAGGAAAAACAAAAGAAATTCCCAACTCCCCTTTCACCAACTACCACCCAACAGGAAGAGCAGTTAGTTGGCTGCTGTAAGGGAGTTTTTTAAGAAATCAGCAAAATGCTGAAGTCTCACACAGATTCTTTCTTCTATGAAGTCTATGTGAAGAAACACACAGGGCTCTGATTCCACAAGTCTAGACAATTAGTACACATGAGAATCATCTATGGAATTTGGTAAAATAAGGATTCCTGGGCTCCACCACCAGGCATGTTTCATTCATCAGTCCTGGGACTGACCCAAGAATTTGTACTTTCAATAAACCCTCTGGGAAAATTCAATCTGAAGCAAGGAACTCAAAAATACTGCTCCTGTACTGTCAGAGCACAGAACACTACCGTAGGCATCCAAAACACATAGTACGACACGGAGTGGCAACATGCTGAAGGACAAGTCTGTGCCTGGAACCTAGTAAGAGTACCCTCTTTTTCATCCCCAAAGTCTAGGCCACCAATCAACATTGGCTCCGTGGCTGGCTCACCTAAGCAGCGGTAGGGAATGACAATGTGGGCGTGGGTCTTGCACTGCTTGCGGCCCCGTTTGCACCAGTTCTGGATGGTCACTGGTTGGTTGGCTTCGACCACATTGGTGATCTGCAGTTCAGGGTAGACCTGGGAGAGCACACAAAAACAGTACATTGTTACCTGAGGCATGCACAAGCACCTGATAAAGCTCCACCATTATTACAAGGTATTACTATTCCCTAAAAAGATAAAAGTGACGAGTACCTAGTCATTCCATTGAAAACATCAAGCAATGTGACATTTATTTTACTGCATGCATTCAGACTTAAAATACCATTTTTCAAGGGGAGACCAAATGGAAACAAGAGGGGGAAAGAAAGGATTCTAATAGGCATGGGGTTGTTTTTAGTGCAAAATAAACCCATGTGGAGATGATGGTGTCCTAAATAAATATTATAGTAGATATGCCTCGGAATATTATCTTTATTTAAATTCAACCTCCCCCTACATTTCGCTGATTAGACAAACATTTTACATCCAAGATACGAAACACAGCAAGCTTTCGGTATAAAAATCCTTTTCTTTATTACAAGTAATTTATATGAGAATAATTTATCAAAAAATTATCAAGGGTGCCATTTACTGATTTCTTTCATTTTTTATTTATATTTTATTATTTGGTTTTTTTAGAGATGGGGTCTCACCACATTGCCCAGGCTGGAGTGCAGTGGCTATTCATAGGCATGATCATAACACTCTACAGCCTCAAACTCCTGGGCTCAAGCAATCCTCCTGCCTTGGCCTCCCTAGTAGCTGGGGCTAAAGTCAGGCCACCAGAGCTGGCTTAAGGATGTCATTTACATAAAGAACTGCATTCATGAACTTTCTGCCCTCTATAACTAACTACAGCCCTTTGCTTTTATTACTGTTCTGAGTAAATCATGGGGCACTTGAAATGAAAAGGTAAATTTGATCAATTAAAATATATTTGTGAAATATCAAACCACTTGTATTTATTAATGAGTAGAGATTTAAAAGAAAACTAAGAACACAAAAATCTATTTCTAAAAATGGGCTTTCCCTTGCATAAATCTTGCATTTTATTAATAGAGTTGCTGTTTTACCAGAAAAATAACAATGAAAAGAAAGAACCGGGGGGCATAAGCGAGGAAATGGTTATAACAGGCCATAAAAATCTAAAGTGGCCCAAGTAAGGACATTAGGGAGTTGCACAAAGTTAAAGGGGGTGGATCAACGGAGTGTGAATCCCAGTGTGGGCTAGAGAATTTGTGGCATAGAGACCCCAGAGAAGCGAGGTGGTAAGAAGTAGTACGTGGACAGTCAGAGAACTAAAATTAAGATTTTGGGGGAGTTATGGTTATTGGTCATTGCCAGGAGTACCGTATGACCACTGGAGGGAACAGGTGACACAGAATGAGGAAGGCATGGTCACTGGAGGGAGAAGAATCAGGGAACTGAGAAACTGTGAAACTGGGAAGATCATTAAGGTAGACAGTAAAATCACTGAAAAATCAGGAAGGGAGCAGTTGTATTGGATGGCAGGAAGCCAGAAGCTAAAATCTTCAAAGCTTGAGGGTAACTGCCGCTGAGGGGGAAAGAGCTCTAGTGACGACACCAACGGGCAGAGGAGGGTGGTGGTCCAGTCTGAAAGCATGAATCTCACAGCTGGTGCTGGGAGAGGGGATTTTAGGGAGGAACGAGGAAGAGTGTCTTGGAAGAGAAAATGAGGAGGGGGGAGGACACCCCCACATCTAGGCACAACACTAGGAAGACCGAGAGAAAAGCACTTCCACCTGAGAAGGCTTCAGGGGAAGCAGTGCCTTCCTTTGGGGGAGATCGAAGTTTCTGAGCAAGAAGAAAATGCACAGTATTGCAGATTTTGATTATGACTGTCAGAGGCATTCAGAAGGCTCAGTGTGATCCTGTCTTTACTTCAAATGTTATTTTTGTTTATCATGGAATTTTTTACATTATTTTGATATTCTAAAGTATTGCATTAAAGTCCTTGTTAGTCACGATTCCTGAGTGCCTCACTCACCTCACCTTAGTCCTGGCCCCAAGAAAAATCAGTTAAAAAGTCAGGTAGCAAGAATGGATAAATATAGGATACATTCAGACAGTGGATTCAATGCTAAAAAGACAGGGCCTAGGCCGGGCACAGTGGCTCACGCCTATAATCCTAGCACTCTGGGAGGCCGAGGCGGGCGGATTGCTTGAGGTCAGGAGTTCGAAACCAGCCTGAGCAAGAGCGAGACCCTGTCTCTACCATAAATAGAAAGAAATTAATTGGCCAACTGATAAATATAGAAAAAATTAGCCAGGCATGGTGGTGCATGCCTGTAGTCCCAGCTACTCAGGAGGCTGAGGCAGTAGGATCACTTGAGCCCAGGAGTTTGAGGTTGCTGTGAGGTAGGCTGATGCCACGGCACTCACTCTAGCCTGGACAACAAAGCGAGACTCTGTCTCAAAAAAAAAAAAAAAAAAAAAGACAGGGGCTATTAAGCTATGAAAAAATAATGGAGGAACTTAAATGCACATTGCTAAGTAAAAGAAGCCAATCGAAAAAGGCTCCATACTGCACGACTCCTATTATATGACATTCTGGAAAAGGCAAATCTATGGAGCCAGTAAAAAGATCAGTGAGTGCCCAGGGGTGGGGGGTAGTGATGAATGGACTGAGCACAGAGGATTTGGGGGCAGCATAACTATTCTGCATAACTACAATGGTGGATAAGTGTCATACATTTGTCCAAACCCAAAGAATGTATAACACCAAGAAGGACCCCTAATGTAAACTGTGGACTTTGGGTGATTATGATGTGTCAATGTGAGTTCATCAACTATAATAAATGTAGCACTCTGGTGGGGGCGGTTGATAATGGGGCAGGGGGAGGAGTATATGGGAAATCTCTGTGCCCCTCCTCTCACTTTTGCTGTGATCCTAACACTGCTCTAAAACATAAAGTCTATTTAAAAATAAAAATTAAAAAATAAGGCATCAATCAGTATAGCAGTTGGGATAAATCTGATGGTGGAGGTATATGCTAGGAGAACACACACAAAAAAAAGTGTCTCTAAATCAGAATACTGGGGTGAGTGTTGATAAAGTTATGCTTGAAAATACTACCAGTAACCTAGCTCCAAAGGGAGACAGGTACTTTGCCTTTATTTCATTTTGTTTTTAACAGTATCTTGACACCTCAATACATGCATTTCAGGTCACAGAAAATGCTCTGCTTAAAAATGCCACTAAAATTTTATTATTCCCATGGTTTTTTTCTATATAATGAAAAGTGAAGTGGCTTTTTGTCCTGGAATATAATTTTCCCACCACCTTTTCTTGTTTATTGTATCACAAAAGTACAGCACTCATGAATCATAAACTCTGTGACACTAGAGAGTTTGCTCCAAGGGACATGATTTTATGTGCAGTAAAGTATGAGTTACTGCATTTTTCTAAAGGGGTTCTAGCTGCCACTTCTCAGAAATATTACCCTGCTGAGAACTTCCTCAGGAGCTGTCAGTTTTCTATAAACCCTGTGAGGAGGCACATTCACATCATGGTTCCTTCTTTTCAATTTAAAATCAACACACTGTTTGCAGGATACAAACTGATTAGTAGGAGAAAAGGAACTCTTACAGGTTGGTTGCATGCGTTCTTCGGATTCCTATGGTAAAACCCGGCAGTGCAACAAAGCAGTAACTTATTAGCTTGAAAACTTTTAAGCAGGTAGAATTACAAATTGACATATTAAAATCCGTGAAGATGGGGCTTCTCTCTAACGATTACTAGAGCTTCATATAGTAATCAGTCAAACACAGAATTTACTTCCAGTTCCCACCATGAAATCTAGGGCATACTTTGTGTGTTATTTTCCCATGGTTCATTTTCTCCCTCCATAACACTGACAATGACAGGTGTTAATATGCAGATGGCTGTGGAGATTATAAAAAATCTGAACCACATAGAGCCCATGCATATTTTGCCTACCGCCCTATTAAAATGAAACCAGTAACTTCAACCTGATTCAGTTACTTTTACTCAGAGATAAGGGGTTATTAATTGGGATTTGCCAAAGATAATACAATTTTGCTGTTCTAAAATCAGGAGGTATATTTAAAGGGGGAGGAATAGCAACAATCAAAGTAACACAATTTCTTCTGAAGCACTGCAAGGCTCTTTAGAGAAAGTGATTACCACATGCACAACTCTCTCCCAACTCAGAAAGCAAACAGCAAAACAAATGAAACAAACATTATAATTCTGACAAAAATTCCCAATGATATTATGCCTAGATTTTTATTAAATAACTCCAGTATATATCCACATAAGCATTTTTAGGTTGAAAAAAGAGTTTAGTTCATAGTTTTAGTTAAGAATAAAAATTAAAATAATTAAACACACAAATGTCATTGTGGCTAGATAAATTTCTGACTTTTCACCACAATTATGGTAGTCCCACCTAATCCACAGTTTTGCTTTCCACAGTTACCTGCAGTCAACTGTGTCTAAAACTATTATATGGAAAGCTCCAGAAGTAAACAATTCATACGTTTTAAATCATGTGCCAATCTGAGTAGTGTGATGAAATCTCATGCCATGCTCGCTCCATCCCAACCGGGATGCGAATTATCCCTTTATCCACACTGTATCCCTGTCTGTTGGTTACTTAGTCTTGGTTATCAGGTAGACTTGTATTGCAGTGCTTGTGGTCAAGTCATCTTTATTTTACTTAATAATGGCTCCAAGACACAATAACAGTGATGACATATTGTCATAATTGCTCTATCTTATTAAGAGTTATTGTTGTTAATTCTTTGCTGTGCCTAATTTATAAATTAAGCTTTATCATAGGTATGGATATATAGGAAAAAACACAGTATACGTAGGTTTGATACTTACTATCCGTGGTTTCAGGCATCTACTAGGGCTGCAGTCCCCAGCCCCCAGCCCCCAGGCCAGTGATAGGTACTAGCTTGGCCTGTTAGGAGTCTGGCCGCACAGCAGGAGGTGGAGGAGGCCAGCTAAACTTCATCTGTATTTACAGCCACTCCTCACATCATCGCATAACCTCTGCCTCCTGTGAGATCAGTGGCGGCATTAGACCCTCACAGGAGCACAAACC